GAATCCAGCCGTAACAGATAGTTTTATGTATGACCTATTGGTTGTATGTGTTTTTCCTTCTTTAATTTGCGACTATAATCGTGGTGAAGTGTAAAGTAAAACGTCGTAACATATTGCGGTGTCGACTATTAAATTACGCAAGACTGCCTCTAGCACACTATACACCAAAAAGGGGAAAAAATTATGAGATGAAATTAGTTAAATAAAAAAATAAAATAAGAAACGATTAAAAAGAAAACGAATTATCGATTCGTTATACACGACTATCGGAATGGACCCACTGATTCGGAAGCCCAGAGCGGGGCGTCGAACCGCTTCTGAAACGCTTCCAGAACGACCTCACCGCCTGCGCGGGCCCATTTCCCGCCTTTTTTGCGCAATCTCCGATCGTTCACCCGCACGACAGTTTGGTGAAGATTGACGGCCCGAAAATAACCGCGTATTGTAACAGTATCCGGAAATAGTGCTGTCCTAGCGACTCAGACGCGCTGGATGGCGGCTAGACGGGAATACTGAAATAAACCTGACAATCGATGTTTAGTCATCAGTACGTTAAAGCTGCGCGGCGTTTCATTAACATTAAGGAGTTTTTATTGCAAGGTTTAAAGAAACAATGTCAATAAATAGCTATTATATTATAGATACAGCATCAACAACACAAGCAATCACAAACCTCCGACAACGAACTTCGATGTACATTTGTATATTGTATTATAACATGTTTCAATATCGACTAGTTAAGTAATTTATCTAGTTAATCGAATGGAGTCAAAATGTTTTAATAAAAATTAAATTAGATATTCCGATTTTTACCGATTTTTAAAGAGAATGAAATGAATGAAAAAATTTTCATGTTTTACCGTCGCAAGGAGTATTTTCTGTCAAGGAATTCTTTATTGCCGATAAAAATATCCCTTCCGAGGTAAATTGTTTTTGCATTAAAGAAAAACTGCTTATTATCTTTGCGCAATGACCTTTTTTCAATTTAATAGTATAAATACAAATAGCCATGATAAAAAACAATAAATTTGCTTCTTGCAGTATACTTAAGAATTACACATATTGACAATAACTTACATACATTGGAACCCAAAATGAAATCAGACTGTTAATTAAAAAATTACTTAAAACACATAAGAGTAACACGAGCTTCAGTTCGAAATGCAGTTCCACGCATAAATATGTACATAAAGTCACGATAACCATTTATCAAATTTATATTGTGTTTATGTTATGTATTATTTGTATCATATTATCTACTAATTGTACAGGTAGGTAGCATAGGATTAAACTGACTGAATTTAAAAACGAAACACATTATTATTAGCACACATGATTATATGAGGACATAATTATTGGTATGCATAAAATCGTAATTTTTCCTTTATACAGAGTCCATGTGAATTTTATCAGAATGTGATAACGACCTTTTTAATTAATCGAATGAGTTTATAGTCAAGCACGATTCGGAATAAAAATAATTGTTTTAATTATAATAAATATGAACACTAAATAACATCACAACTAAGTTTACTTTAAAAAATTTGCGTAGCAGAATTTCGTTTTTTGTTTGTTTAATTAAATCTTTATTTTAATTGAAAATAAGATAAACTAACAGCCTATAACCGTATAAATTGCAATTAAAAATTTCTTTGGCTCCATCACGGGGAAGTTAGGTTGCTCGATTATATTGAATTATAAGCGAGCGCCCAGAAAGAGAGCTATCGCGCTAATATCAGCTAATTAATAAATTAAGAAAATATTTCCATGATACACATTTTTGATACAACCTTTAATATTATTACTGTGGACCAGATATGAGTTTCAAAGCATTTACAAATCCTTTACCATTCAGTCATCTATACCAGTAAATAAAAAATTAAGTTATCGTCAGTCAGTCAAACGACAGGTTAAACTTGGCTCAACAGTTGGAATAAAAACATTCCCTTTAGCTTATGCATCTACGGTCCTTTTATGTTCTTTTTTATCGAAAGAACTGCGAGCTTTTGAATGAAAGAGTTAGTTTCGCTCTTAAAAAAGTCAATGGAACAAGTCCGTCTAACTTTCGTTACTGCCGGATAACTCGTTGGAATTTTTGACTTCGTAAATGGACCTCGTTTTTTTCCAAAACACTGGCTGCATGGAAACGTGATTGAACTTTCAAAAGTGAAAACATTTTTTTCTCAGTTCCATTTCGAGCCTTACGTTACCTTGTGGCTTTGTTAGAATTTGGTTTTTCAAATTTCATAACTTACGAGTAGTTTCTCGTATCCTGAATTTTAGTTAATACTGATTCAAAAACTACTAGCTTAAGGGACAATATTTTTTTGAATTTTTTAGGTTTATCTTACAATGGCTTCCATTTTCCAAAGAAAGATAAATAGAGTTTGAGAAAAATTATGATCTCCGATCACTATGACTAGAAAAATATTTTAGCAGTTATGTATATTATAACAGCATTAACAAAATGTCCAATGACAAAACATTACGTACCAAATAATAGGGTGTTATTCTACCAACATTTTCAATTCACAATAACCAATTTTTGGTGGCAATTTTTAGCTCTTTTCGACTCATTAAATCCGCGAATTTATTCAAACCTGTTATGGCATCAGTAATTGGCATTTCCAAAAGCTACCGACAAAACTCGAACTACCCCACTACTCATTTCGTTTCATTGTGCTAAACAACAAATTAAAAAGTGTTTGGAGGAGACTTTTATTGGAGACAATTAGAATAGAATTTAAAAAGATGTAAAATCATAGTGAAATAACCACTTAATAATAAAACACAATTACAGCATTGGAATGAGTATTTTCATTTGAGTTTTTCTGAATTCGAAAATTTGTTCAAAGTATTTGATGAAATACGGGAACAATGCAATTTTATTGAACGCTATTGATAACTGAAATAATACAACCGAATTCTAGGTATAAAGTAATTTCAGTAATATTTTTGCTATAGCTGACAGCGGCATGGGTCATATACGGTTATACATTATAAAATACCTTCTTTTACCAAAATGTTAAAATTACAAAAATTAAATTTAATGCGATAAAATCGGTAAAATTTCAAGTGAATTTGAGATATCGATAGCCCTGAATTTAAAATACCCCCAGTGAGGCTGTCTTTAATCCCGGATTTCCTAATTAGAAAAGCATTCGGCTCTCTACCAAAAAGTTTTAAGCACGTCGATGCCGTTTTCAACTTGCATATAAATTCTCTCCTGACAAAAGCGAAGTCTCCAGACATCCTTTTCCAAGTTCAATGCTGTGTGTGCTACAAGTACTTTCTGCATGTACGACATCTTTCGTTTTTTATTTGTAATAAAACAATATATATTTAAACTGTATACATATCTTTCTAATTTTTATGATGTTCGTTGAAATGTATGTTATTATAATTCGAATATGAGTGCGCTAGAACATGTTATTTATTTTTAAAGTATTTATTTATTACCTTACTTACTTTATTGCATTACTTCCTACATAAAACGCTAAGCGTAAGCTGATAGCATCTTAAAATCTTAAAACACATATTTATAAATAATTTCCAAAACTTTTCATGCTATATTTAGCCATTAACAAGTTATACGTAATAATACAAGTGTCCTTTACGATACATATAGCATTATGTAAGAGTTCTCTTTTCAGCGTTAGATGATCCTTCAGAGTTTGAATACATGTTTTTGTATCGTAAGAAAGTTATTGATCCATTTATTACAGGCTATATTGTTCACGTTATTATCAAGTAATGTTATAAAAGTATAAAATATCATAAATATATTAAACGAAGATCGTTGTGTAACATAATAAACTTAAATTCAATACTATTACGACATGATAAAACGATTTAATTTAATAAATCCTTGCCTCTCCAAAAAGAACTATAAATGCTTAAATACAAAATATTTATCATCAAAGATACCACGAGATTCCCTTCGAGGCTCTTCTTAGAATCAATAATCTTGTTGAACAATAACGAAGCTTAAAAGCTTACGCGAGAGAACGATTGGGAACTCTCTAAAAGTATGACAATATAATAATAACAAGATTACAGTAATATATAACAATTCTAAACAAGAATTGTATATTTTTGTTTAGAATTCATGAAAGTATGATACTACAGTGGAAACTCCATTAATCGAATTGAAATAATCTAAAGTGTAAAAAAAGGCTTATCGGACATAATATTAAAGCATGGTACATAAGTGTAGCTATTTAAAAACACAACAAAAACAAATTAAACTTAATAAAAAAAACAATGTTTATAAAAAAAATGTATTAAGTGATACATTTTCGAAAATACGCACCTATTTATGTTAGTCAACGGGCACTTTTTCTTAAATTACCTTACGTATTAAATTACTGCAAACTGCAATCTTATTCACGAAATAAAATCAATTAAGTGGTAATTGTGAAAGATGATATAGAACGTATGACAAGGGAAGGGATAGAAATGTATAGAACTGCAATCTATTTTCAACAATTGGTGTAATTTGAGTGCCTCAGTTTTGGTGCGCTAGGGTCATATCTACTTCGTATTTGTATGTCATATCTAATGTCGTATCTAATTGCAGACAAAATAAAGTAACGTAGACAGATTAGTATTTATAAGGAACCGACGTGTTTACGTAAATGGTTAAATCAAGCGTAAGAGATACATAATTATGTATGTGTGTCAGTGCGGTCGTTATTAACAGCGTCTCTACCAAGTTAAAACATGTTCTAACTTTTACGTGTTATATACACGAATGTTGGTCAATATAATAATTAAGCTTGAAACAGTAAAGTAGGTGGTCATTTGTTCTTTATTAAACGCGTTACGTTGTGTTATTGTTATCATTATCAAAGAAGATGCGCGCGCGCAGCCAATCTTTACAGCGATCGCAGACGTAGAGCCTGCAGTCGCGCACCAACCGCCGATGAGAACGCACGCGTCGCGCGCCTGCCGATAGTATCGCTCGTCGTGGCACGACCGCGTGTTTCAAAATTATAATAATGGTGAGTGCATGCCCACGTAATCCGGCCTAATCACATTTACCCCGTTTCGTGTTTTATTGTATACGATCATGATTATTATGCTGTGGAAATTCATGGTACCGTTTATCGGCAAGACTAATTCCGCATAAGACCACGCGTGTCTAATTGCAATTTCTTCCGAGGAAAAGACAATGCTCGCGACATTGTTACGGATTTCTGTTGTAATTCCACATTTCGGTTGATTAGTGGCAAGCAAATGAAAATGTTTACATACGTATGTGATACTAAATAACGATTTGTTAATTGATCTTTATTTATATTGGCATAAAGCTAAGATTTTCAATAAGTATTTTCATCTATATATTTATCCCAAACGTATAAATTAACTGGTGATGTTGTACAGTTCTTAAGCTAGCCTTTAGGACTCTACTAACCATTGCTTAAGTGCACGCAAAATAAACTTATTTATTTTAGCAATTCGGTTAGTGAACCAATTTTACTTTAATGTTAGGAAATTCAAACGCACCTGAAGGTTGCTAGAATAATATTTTATAGGCATCATAACAATTTTTTGCGCGTGATAAAATAAAGCAAAAGTTACTCTATATTTACAATGAACTTATCTACATATTATTATAGTGAGGCTTAGAGAATAATTTACTAGTGAATTCTATTGAAACTATATAATATTCGAAAATGAGGATAAATTGGAAAAATTAGAGATATCATCATGAATTGCCAACTGTGTTGTAGAATGATTGCATCATTGAGATAATATGTTTCCTCAGTGCACTTTTTGTATCACATTTTTTGTATCAATACGCCAGACGATGTTAAGAGAACAGTATACGATATATTAAGATATAAAAATTAATGTATGTTTTATACAACACTTCTTCGTAGCTTTTTTCACATTATCATCATTCGTTGAGCCGTGATAAGATAGTAATTTACACGTAATTGCTCATTAATACGAATCGATAGCTAATATGGCGGTATGCCACTGAGATTCGTATCCACGATCACCAGTCGCACGTCAACAACCCGACCAATAAGCCGCCGCTGTCCGTCATCTTTAGTTTTTGATAAATTAAATATAACTGATAACATTAATAACTGAACTGATAACATTAATAACATAAAATTAATAACTGAACTGACAACATTAATAACATAAAATTAATAACTGAAATGAACAGCAACACGCAACGAGGTATCGCTTCAGTAAACCCTAATAGTCTCGGCTGAAAATTGATTAAGTGATAAAAAGTTTTTTGCGTCATTTACAATCGGTTATTGAAAGGGATCGACTTACACATAATTTTGCAAACACAAAAATCGACATTAAATCAAGAAGTAGCAAGAACCCATTTTACTATTTATAATAAAATGTGTTAATGTAACTAAGCGGGCAATTATTCCATAAAATGTCTGACATGTAGAATATCCCGACTGGAGAATATACATAATGTATATAAATATCGGTTGCCGAATTGTTAATTTTGTAATATTCGTTTTAAATTATCACTACTCATTAATTAATTACACACTCAATTTCATGACTGAAATATCTAATGCATGCATTCAATTTGTTTTAATTGGTAAAGGTAATTCTAGCTGGATTTATGAATGATACTTGATTACTCTTTCATACAACGTTGAAATGTAATGTAGGGAACAGTAACGGCCTTTTTATTTGAAAAATCTTCCCTTCTTTTCTTTTCACTCGAACGTTTTAACTCTCGGAGAGATTCAAAAGGCACTCAGCCACCCACCCACAGGTGCACATAATTAGGCCCTTTCAATTATACATGCACGATAGAGCCTTCATCTTTATTTTTAATACGGAATATATGGTAGAGCATTGATGCACTTGTAGATGTAATGCCTTTTATGACGATTAAAATTTAACCTTTAATAAATTATCAGTTTTATTACGAAAAAATTCTTAGCATGTTACTGACGAAGTAAACAATAATAATTTAAAATGAAGATACGTCACATAAGCCATATGAAAATTAATTCATTTAACAAAAGCCTTTACATATGTTTACGAATAATTACCACAAGGTAATTGACCAAGCAAGTTGCGCAACAAAGAGTACGATTCGATACTGTCAACGTTCACAAAAACTCGTGCAACGTAAACAATAACTCGTTATTTTCGCGAACGCTTGCTTATTTGTAAACGTCAATTTGGAGTCCGAATGAGAGTCGAATGAGATCGATTGTGCACTGATTCCGGCGTTAACAGTAAATTTTGTCAAATAGAAATTTGAAATTCTTATGAATGCACGATGTTTATAAGTATACAATTGTAAGTAGGTTTACTTTAACAGTAAATGCAGCATGTCTTCTGAACGAAACAAGGTTATCATTATTTATCTAATAAATTGATATTGTCTAGAAACGTTTGATCATTGAGATAACAGTATAAAAGGCAACACACCTTGCTACACAGCCTCCCCTCAGTAAGTCAAGGTATGTCAGTTTAGACAGTATCTTCAACTTACAGAAAACGCGTCTCTTCGTAGCAAATCCTTGTCTCACTCGTTCGCTGACGGAAGCAATATCTCAATTCGATCCTATTATCACGTAATACGATTGATAATTTTAATCTAGTATGTTGCATGTTTATATATACTTATATACTATACACAGTACTGAGGCTCTTATAGATGATATTTCTAGTTGGTGCCTAGCACATATGTTAATGTAACGGAGTGCGGGAGCGTTTAGGGATTTTGAAGATTCGATAGATTATTATTAAACAGTATATAATACATATTTTAGGAATAATAATAAAAAGTGAAAAAGGTTCATATTTAAACAATGTTTCATTAATTGTGCTGATAAATTTTCAATTTAGTCATATAAGTCAGAAGTATGATGGTTTTAATAAAAAACTACAGAGGAAAGTTGATGTGCCACTTAATAAGACAAGACAAATTCATTAAGACATCATGAATGGAAAGATAGAAGGAAAGCAGGGTAGAGGAGACTGAGGATAAGCTATATATCGCAAATTAAGAAGATGATAAATGTAAAGTCGTATATGGAGGCGAAGAAATCGGTTTTGGATAGAGAAAGATGGAGGGTTTACACAACTTAACTGACATAGATGCTGCACCGACAAGAGCCTAGCTCTTAAAAGAAAGAGAACTGTATAAAAATATTCTTGTTGAGTAACACGACCTTGAGTACCTAAAAATACTTTAGGATATTAATAATTATATATTTATACAGAAATCTAATCAAAAACTAAGAAAATCTTCCACTCTGCGTACGAGCTAACCGATAAACATACTTAAATCTACTTATAACAGATAAGTATATAGATGTACAGTATAGTAATAGAAATACATATCATCTTGTATTATAAACTTCATTTCGGTATCAGCGGTAAAAAGCGTGACCTGGTAGATTATTTCATAGCGATAAAATTTAAACATTTAAAATAATTTCATTTAAAATTACGTAAGTAATATCCTGAAGCTACGTGATAGGAACTGAATGATAACCGCGTGATTTGAATTCGTGTAAGTCGCAATATAAACGCATAGCAATTTAAAAATATCGGTCTCGATTTAAATAATTCCAAATGCGAACTTTTCTTTTCCGAAAAGATTTCTTTTTCCGACAAAATCATTTTGACCCAAAATTTTAGCTCTATCATACCGGGAATTAACGTAGTCCGTTCAGATTCACTTTACCTCTTAGGTGCTCCTTTAAAGTTAAGTCAATTTTTAGATCATGTCAATAAATTGTTTTTACTAAATTCGCATATTGCGCTTACTATTTTGCGACATTGTATTCTTGTACCTAAATTTACGTACCTCCTTCGCTCGAGTCCAGTTTGGAAATGCGGTGACTTTTTGAACGAAATTGATTTCCATCTTAAATCAGCTCTAGAAAAAATTCTAAATTTATCTCTTAATGAATTAAGCTGGACTCAAGCTACGCTGCCAATTCGTTTTGGTGGTATCGGTGTAAGGAAAATTTCTAGTGTCGCTCTACCTGCCTTCCTTGCTTCCGTGCATAGCGTAAATAATTTATGTAATAACATCCTTAATCACGATTCAGAACTTTCCTATGCAGAGGAGGCAAGGATGTCTTGGCTGTCTATCTGTCCCAACGAAAATATCCCACTGGAAGTAAACCTACAAAAACAGTGGGATGTTCCTTTGGTGCGGAGAGTACAGAGAGATACGTTTCAATCTTTAGAAAGTAATTTAGAGCGTGCCCGTTTCCTAGGAGTCTCATCTAAAGAATCGAGTTATTGGCTTCACGCTTTACCATCAAGTAACTTGGGCACATTACTTGACGATGAAAGCTTACGCATTGCTGTAGGAATCCGTCTGGGGGCACCGATTTGTCAACCACACCAATGCCCTTGTGGTGTCAGTGTAGACAAATTTGGTCTCCACGGGCTTTCTTGTCAAAAAAGTGCTGGCCGTTTTTCTCGCCACGGTTCCCTGAACGACATCATCCGTAGGGCTCTTGTTTCCATCAATGTTCCATCTATCTTAGAGCCCTGTGGCATTTTACGCGACGATGGTAAGAGACCCGACGGTTTAACATTGATCCCTTGGGAGAGAGGCAAAGCCCTTGTTTGGGACGCCACTTGTGTAGACACTTTGGCTGCCTCTCATCTAAGGGGTACTTCGGTCAGGGCCGGGGCGGTATCGGAGGCAGCTGAAGTAAGTAAATGGCGCAAATATGAGTCTTTATGTTCAGATTATGTATTTGTGCCATTTGCTGTTGAAACATTAGGTCCGTGGGGTCCCCGCACATCAATTTTTTTTAAAAGTTTATGTCCTAGGCTTAACGCCGCGGCTGGTGACAAGAGAGCTGGTTCTTTTCTCGCGCAAAGGTTGAGCATAACTATTCAGCGAGGAAATGCAGCTAGCGTTCTTGGCACCATGCCGCGTGGATTAGGTTTATTAGATAATATGTAATTTTAGATAGATTTAATCTTGTAAATATTAGATCAATAAAGATTGTCTTTACATTGAAAAAAA